AAGAAACCACGAAAAGCGACAGATAAATATTCAGAACGTATGGAATACAGATTTCTGAAACTATCTTTTGCATCCCAAAGATGAAAAGAAACTCGTGATCTGTCGCTTACATAAAATTCAGGGTATCAGAATGAAATAAATCCAAGAAGGAGAACATTTAAGCAGAAACGCGACCAGAAAATATATGGAACAACTTGTAAATTATAGAATATCAACTGAAAGGCGAAGTGAAGACCTAGAATTTGTCAACCTTTTGGAATGCTGTATCTCTATTTTCAAACGACTAATGGAGGTGTATCATCCACTAACTTTTGTCACTGTTCATATCAACAATCAAAACTCTAGGAAGTCCACTGGAAATTCTGAAGGCAGAAGTAGTCTTAAAAACACTCCCCTTCAATATACGGTGCATTTTGGGTACTCTGCCATGCTAAAGAATGATCATACCTCAAATTAGATAATTCCATGCTTTTTTGGATTCTCAAACTCAACATAGCTTACTATCGATGACATCAAAAATTCGTTTGATGATCAACGGCTTGGCTGCTAAAGGTTCATCTACAACCGACCTCTATATTACTGTTTTTTTCTTGCCTGCACTAAGCAATTCTAATTACAGGTTAAACAAACTGTAGTATTTACCAACTTCTCATAAGCATACAGATGCAGTTCATATTAAAAGAAATACACGGAAAGAAAAGATACGAAAATATCCATTTCATATTAAAAGAAATCCTTTATTTTTGTCTTTTCTTTAGAAAGTTCTTTTTTAGAAAGATTATCCCTTAGAAATATAAGTCAGAAATATACCTTTTCGACGTATGCATGCATGCATGGGATAAGAAGATGCCAATAACAGTTACGTAAAAGTGAGCCTCTCCCATGACCATGCCCATGCCCATTGCCCTTTGCCCTAATCTCCTAACCGCCCAGTCGTCATGCTTCACTCCCAACATCTCCATAAATACCTCCTCCGAACCATAAACCTACTTCCATCCTGTTTTTGGTTTCTCCTCGTTCACCACCATGGGGAGAGGATTCTTGTTCGCTGCCTTTCTCGTTGCGGTAGCATTCTCCGGCTTGCCGTTGGTTGGGGATGACATCGCGTCGGAGGAGAAGCTCTTGGACTTGTACGAGAGGTGGCAGAGCCACCATGGCGTGTCACGCAGCGTCGACGAGAAGCGCATCCGCTTTGATGTTTTTAAAGAGAACGCTAACTACGTGTTCGCGTCCAACAAGAAAGCCAAGCCTTACAAGCTTAGCCTCAACAAGTTCGGCGATACGGCGAGGGAGGAGTTCAAGAGGACGTACGCAGGGACGAGGATTCGTCGCCGCAGCACTCTCAGAGGAAGCGCGAACCTCATAGGGTACTTATACAAGAACGTCACCAATGTAACTCCCACCGTCGACTGGAGGCAGAAGGGTGCCGTCACTACGATCAAAGACCAAGGCAAATGCGGTGAGCTCAAAATATTTTATTTTTGTTGATGTGCTCGATCGAAATAAATGAAAATTTAGTATGAATTATTGCAGGGAGTTGCTGGGCCTTCTCGACAGTAGTTTCGGTGGTGGGAATAAACCAGATCAGATCCAACGAGCTCATCTCCTTGTCAGAGCAACAACTGGTGGATTGCGACACCAACACCAACAAAGGGTGCGATGGAGGTATGATGGATGATGCATTCGACTTCATCGAAAGAAATGGAGGGATCACAACAGAGGAAAACTATCCTTGTGTAGCTCGACAAGAACTATGCAAAGTAAAAACAATTCTGGAAAAACAAAAAGAAGAGATCTATTATGACCAGGGTTGTTGGTGATAAAAAATAATCTAGTGAAACTCTTCGTAAAAGTATAATCGAGTCATAGTAAAAATAAAACTGTCTATTTTCATAGCAACTATAAATGCCAAGAATCAGCATATTTGTCTCAGTTTAAGTTTGTCTGGAGATATGTTGTCACAACTCATAAACAATGATCAATTAGGAAATTTCAGGAGGAACAACAGTAGTTGAGATTAAACAAAAGAACTTAAAAAAAACAGAATAATTATGTGCCTTATGATTAAAGATTAGTGGTGTAGAAAAGATAGGAAATGCTGAAGGTATCTGAAAAGTAATATAAATTTTGCAGCACTGAATTATAATAACTGGAGATATTCCATCTTGTGCAAAAATCTCATCAAAATAATGGTCCTCCACCCATGCTTTAGGTGAATCATCTTCGTGTATAACACCAAAAGGAGAGAGGAAATGTAAAACAGTAATGTTATGTTAGGATTGAGAATAGGGCATCACTTCAGTATTCTATTGGTAATTGGGAAGTGTACCAACCTGTACTACCTAGTATCATTGGATAAAATAGTAGAAAATAAAAATGTATCATATATATATATATATATAGTCATCAAGCTATCTATTTATTTGAAAAAGCGCTATATATTTTGATATTATTATTTGGTCAAACTAATCAGTATATATTGGTATGATCAACATTGAAAACCTTGAATGAAACCACTGTCAATTTCCTTTGAAACTTTCCCCAACTTAGTACTTCTAGGAAAATTTGCAATTCTTGATTTGCTGCAGATCATTTAGATCTAGGAAAATGGTATTCTATCATGCTTTTGGCTAATCAATTGCATCAATATTTACAATTGTGTTCTACGCCTTAGTACTTCTAGTTTATGATTGCATTTCTTCATTTTTCGTAAGCTAAAACCTTGTTGACGTATTTCTTGTTGCCTGCCTTTAGCTCTTTCTTTAGGTCCATACATAATTCTTGTTATTTGATCCTTTTCCTTATATTACACAGATTGGTGGCGAGCTCATGGACTTTATAGTTGTGCTTCATGGCTCTAAAGCTGTGAAGGCATTTAGCAGCAACATGCATATTTCACTTGGTGCAGGTTTGAGCTTTGCTGCAGGACCAGTTGGCAGAGTGTTTGAAGCAGATCTTCGAGCTGGCGACAAAGGGTCTGGCATGTGTTATACATACAGCTGCAGCAAAGGTAATTTTTTTTTTATCCTATATAGATGCATGCTTCCAGCTAAATGACTAGTTAATTTGTAGATATATTTTAAGAAACACCAAACTTCCTGAACGATTTTCTATTCATTTCTGAACATACATCAATGATGGTTTTGCACCAGGCATGAGCTTTGAGTTATCAAGCTTGACTTGTAATTAGTTTACAGTGACACTATTAGCTGATGACAACATTTTAATTACTGAGAGAAGCATAAAATTAAATCTTAGGTTAAAGCAATGGATAGACTTTTGGAGCTACAGAAGGATCAAATAGAATGATCGAGTTCAGGTTTACTTGTAGAGCACTTTTGAGAACTTATCAGCAATAATGGAATTTGTTTAAAATTCAGCATTCACAAAGCAAGAGAAGAATGGTTAAATTGGGGAGATAAATCTGATGTGTTGTATGCCTGTAAGATATTATTGCCACTGTGAGGAAAAACTTTGGTAGACGTCCATAAAAAAGGCCATGTTATGCCTATTTTGTTCTTGTTCCCTTTCCGGGTTGGGATATTATGGCTTGTTGTTGTTATTATCATATTCTCTTTCTTTCTGTGCAGATGTAGTACCGGCAACTATAGTGGTGCATTTTTCGAT